CTTGGGTAGAGGAAGAAGGACCTTAATATAGGATTTCTACGACGTCCAGCTTGTTGACATCACAGAGATCCTTTTCATCTGCAACATGGGACTCCCGGCGCACAGGCCACGACTACTGGACCTTTGTGGAGGGCAGAGGAGAGGTTCCTAGGGAAATTCTTTGGGCCACAGCCCCGTGAGTCACTTGTCCTGGTAGACCCCCCAAAACCCAAGGACGAGGCAGCGTCCGCGAAGAAGCGCAGGGCAACGGAGGAATAGACAACGTCACCGCAGAAAGAGACGCCGACCCGGCGGCCCAGCAGGCGGGACTAGAACATGGCCAGGGTGGCACCCGGCGTCCGGGGAAGACAGCGTCGAGGTGGGAGGGGCCAAAACCAGCGAGGGAGAGGAGCCTGGAAACAAAAGAACGGCCCTGGGGAACGAACCGGACGGCACAATTGAGGTGCCCGAGCAGGGAGAGCAGCTGGCGCTTCAACATTGACGGGGCCCGGACGCCGCCTGCGCCAGAAACCGTGTGGCCCCTCGGGGATTGTGGAAAGCCTACAGAAGGTCGAGGGATGCGAGGGACGCCGACGTCAGGAGGAAGATGATGAACGCCCAAGCGGGATGGAGTAGGAGCGCGTGGGCGAGCCTGGGGAAGAAGACCGGGGCCGAGAGGCGGGCGCTGAGCAAGGCGTGGATGAAAGCCCCTCGGAACGGCGGCCTCACGGGAGCCGGGACGGGCCCCACAGCACGGAGCGACGAAGGAACCAGGCTCCAAGGACAGCACGGCTAGGACATCAGGAGACACCAGCTTCAACGGAAGGCCCGCCTCACATGGACCAACGGCACCTACAAGACAAAAACTGTTGCATCGTATGAAATGCAGCCACGTCGACCCGTGGCATGGACAGACCAGATTCCGCCCAGCATCTCTTTTGTTTTGTTTATTTTTCTTGGGAACTGCAGCGTCAATGATCAGCAGCTCGAGGATCGTTTCCTCATTCGCGCCCTTGCATGTTTCTTGAAGGACCCATCAAACGTGAAATTGCATCATTGCCACGCCGAAGAGGTTCACGGTACCGCTTTGCGGGAGAGGCCACGTTGCGAGCCCGGTCTACAGAGACCCCCCCACAGTCGGAACGAAAGTTGAGACCACGTTCTCCGAGCAAGACTAACCAGAGTCAGCGCAGCCCTTTATGTGACCAGGAGCACAAGATCTTCCAGTGGACCCAAAACCGCCAGTACCAAGGGGAAACATTGCACCAATCCGTGCTTTATCACGTTCTCCGAGATCAGCCCAGAAACGATGCAACCAGCGCTCGGGGCATCAGCAGCCCGCCTGCAGTCCAGAGCACGGGGTCAAAACAGCCAGCCTGCAGCCCGGTGCGCTGGGTCAACAGCCAGCCAGCAGTCCAACGAACGGGATTAAAACAAACAGCCAGCAGAACGATGTGAGGGACCAAACTGAGAGCCTGCAGTCCAATGCGAGGGATTAAAACAGAGCCTGCGGTCCAAAGTGAGTGATTAAAACAAAGCTTGTAGTCCAAAGTGAGGGATTTAAACAGCTTGTAGTCCAAGTGAGGGATTTAAAGAGAGCCTGCAGTCCAAGTGAGGGATTTAAAGAGAGCCTGCAGTCCAATGTGAGGGATTTAGACTGAGAGCTTGCAGTCCAATGCGAGGGATTTAAACTGAGAGCCTGCAGTCCAATGTGAGGGACTTAAACTGAGTTTGCACACCGATGCGCGGGGCCAACTGAGCCTGTAGTACAATGCGAGGGGAATAAACCGTCAGCAGGTCAGCACACTTACCCACAAACGCCAGAAGACAGGGGAAAAACAACAGTACCACGCCGTACCGGCACAAGGAGGAAGGGATGCGCACAGCTCCCACCGCACTGGTCCAGACCGGCCGCGTGCAGCAGCGGCCACGACGAGACGAGCAGCGGCAAACCCGCAGAAAGAGCCCGCAAAGAGGAGAGCGGCAAAGACCCACGGACCACAGCACAAGACCCGCAGCAGGAGCAGCGACGCGGAGGAGGAGCAGGCTGCACGCAGCAAGACAGAGGACAGCAGGGATGCTCACGAGTAAGCGTGAGTAGACAAAAGCGATTCCTCCAGAACGACTCCTTGCGAGGCTTGAGAAGAACGTGAAGTGGGAGTCTCTGCTTTTAAGCTGCTTGCCTGGCCTGCATAGGTTGGCTGGGAATGGGCGTTTGCTGTGCGATAGGCCGAGAATGAGAGGCAGGCTTGGAGGGGATAGCTTTGGCAATCAGTCTACCAGAGTGAACCTTCGCAAAGCTCCATTTCCCCGCTGTGGGACGATTAAAGGATAACTTATTCTTAAAGTAGTACTAGAATTTAATATGCTGCTATCCAGAATATATAACTACAATATGTGTTTATAATATTTCGGGTGTTCATTTTGACATGTTCAGATGAATTATGTTAAAAAAAACGGCTTTAAAGTGGCACCTTTTAACAAACGCTAGGGGGCGCCAAAATGGCGGCGATGACGTAGGAGAATGACCTCTCACGGCAGACAGCAGTCTGGTTGGAAACTGTAGGAGGTTTCACTGTCATCTGAACAAGGTATAAACATATTTTCATCAGTTTTGTACATAATAGTGTGAAACTCTATTAACCTTTTAGCCTTATTTGTGAGATTCAAGCTGATTAGTGTTGGGCAAGTTAGCTAACTCTACTTGATATCATAAAACATGCTAACAAGGCTAATATTCGTTTTTACATTATGCCAGTCTCACTTTGGTTGCCTTAGATTTATTTACCACAACTTACATTGTAATATTCAAAAATGCTAATCAAAATAACTTGAATTAAATAAATATTTTACTTTTATGAACAAAAAGCTGCAGAAGTTGAAAACATAGACTTCATGTGATGCAATCATTGATAAAAATGCTAAATAAACCGTTAATAGGTGTTAAGCTGTTTGAGTATTACAATCTACATTGTGGTAAATAAATCTAAGGCAACCAAAGTGAGACTGGCATAATGTAAAAACGATTATTAGCCTTGTTAGCATGTTTTATGATATCAAGTAGAGTTAGCTAACTTGCCCAACACTAATTAGCTTGAATCTCACAAATAAGGCTAAAAGGTTAAAAGAGTTTCACACTATTATGTACAAAACTGATGAAAATATGTTTATACCTTGTTCAGATGACAGTCAAACCTCCTACAGATTCCAACCCAGACTGCTGCTGCTGTGAGAGGTCATTCTCCTACGTCATCGCTGCCATTTTGGCGCCCCCTAGCGTTTGTTAAAAGGTGCCACTTCAAAGCCGTTTTTTTAACATAATTCATCTGAACATGTCAAAATGAACACCCGAAATATTATAAACACATATTGTAGTTATGTATTCTGGATAGCAGCATATTAAATTCTAGCCCTACTTTAATCTTAAACATAAAGTGCACGGTCCAGCCAACTTCAGCTCTACCATCGATGCATGCTACACCTTTTGGAAAGCTCTAGAATCCAGCCGTTGATACTGTTTGTAAATACTGCAGTTGTTTTTGATTGTGTCATTCTGTATATGATGCTAATTTGTCATTCAGCCAACTTCAGCTCTGTTAAACGTGAATCAGTTAAAAGTTTGGACACCCCTGCTCCAAGCCATTGTTTTACACTGATCATGTTTTTCCATCTCGCTTACGAGGATTTCGTGCACAATCAGTGGGCACATTATTCATGGAAGTTTGTAGAACTGAAGCCACTACACTTTCAGAGAACAATGTTAAAAGTTTCCATCGTACCATCGTCCCAAAGTTTTCAAGGGCAAGTCTACGATGGTTGGAAAAGGAACCATCAACAAAACATCTCTTCTCTGAGTTTCGTCCCGTCACAATGAGCAGGTCCAGAAACAGTCTTTTGGTTCTTCTTTGGAAGATGGAATGTATGGCTCATGATACTGCTGAATCTGTCACTGATAATAATTTACTAGTAACTTTGTCACTAGTCACTTTACCTGTTATTATTATTACTGCATTATTCATACATCCGATACTTTGGCCATTCACTAGTCACTTTACCTTTTGATATTATTACTGTTTATTCTGCTCATATTCTTGTTCTTATTTTAATTATATTGTTGATTATCTTAAATAATACACTCTATTTGATGTGTTCAATCTGAGTGTTCTTATTTCCTTCTTTCTCTGCAACGATGACACTGACATTTCTCCACTGTGAGACAGATAAGGAAAATCTTATCTTGTGTGTTCCAGACACACTGACAAACCTGGATGACTGCTTCTTGTATTGATGCATCAATGAAATGTTTGGAATCTTTCAAATACTTTGATTTACTTTGGCCCACGACACTAAAGCAGATGTTCCCTTCTTTGTTGAGAAGGTTCATTCGCCTGAACTGTTCAGTCGTGAACGTGTCTCTCTCCAGGATTTGGGAGTCACATGTTTTTACCAAACTATTTTCATGTTCTTTGAATCTGGAGCATTTGTATACACTTTATAAGAGAGAATACTTTCACTCAATCTTTTCTATCTCCGGTCTCTCTCTCTGGTGTCTCTTTCTGGTCTCACTCTCTGGTCTCTCTCTCCTGTCTCTCTCTCTGGTCTCTCTCTCTAATCTGGTTGATGTGGGTCGGTTTTGCTAGGATAAAGAAATCCTGTATTTATCCCACAGTGGGGACATTTCAGTGTTGCAACACCAGTTACAGAACATTAGTAGCACACAGCACAAGTAAACAATTACTCTATATTAAAATAAATCTAACTTTAGAAAAATAAAGCAAGTAGTGCAATACTATATGTTCGAGTGTAAGAAATATATGGTTCTACAGTATGTATACATCTGTACATGTTAGCAGAATGAGGGTCTGACACAGTACCAGATACTAAAGCATTATGGGAACAGAATCAGGTAGAGTAAAGCCAAGCAGAGTAGACCATGTGCATTATGGGATTTGGAGTTTAAAATCCTGGTTGGTCAAATAAGTTACTGACAATATTCTCATTGTCTTTGATTTTTAGGCACAATGAAGAACATCAGCAACTTCCCCACATCCACCGCACCATCGACTGTCGACATCTACAACCACAGCACCAGCTACGACTACAGCACCAGCTACGACTACAGCACCAGCAACAACCACAGCACCAGCTACAACCACAGCACCAGCAACAACCACAGCACCAGCTACGACGGACTCATCATCGAGAAAATCTGGTTCAGCTTTGACATCTTCATCCTGATCACTGCTCTCCCGGCCAACAGCGCCCTCCTGTGGCTGATGCTCAAATCCAGACACAACCTCTCCCCGTCTCAGCTCTTGGCCCTGAACATCTCCATCGTGGGCAGCGCATACTGTCTGCTTCTACCTTTTGAATTGTATGCCGTTCTGAGCGGGAATGACAAAGCTCTTGAGAACATCTGGAGCTGGATGGACATTTTAAACGTGTTTGGATGTCCTTTGTTCTTGACGCTGATGTGCTTGGAGCGTTTCGTAGCTGTTGCGTTCCCGATGACGTACATACATCTCCACAAAACCAAACCCCGAGTTGTTTTATGCACCGTCACGTGGATCACTACAGTGTTTCTAATCTTTATGCTGTCCTTTCATATAGTGTCTTCAGACACCTTGTCAAATATCTTAGGTGTGGCTTTTTCAGTGTTATTTCTGATAATGCTTATTTGCTTGTTTGGAATAGTCAGGGTGCTATGCCAAAGCGGACCAGGAGAGGGAGCTAACAGCAGCAGTGATTCACTAAAAAAACGTGCTCTTGTGAATGTTATAATAGTGATAGTTCCAACAAGCATTGCCTACGGCCCCTTTGTGACCACTTTTATTACAAACATCATAGGCGTCTACAAAGGAAGGAAACCTTATGTGTTATGGTTTGCGGTGCTTTTTACAAATTTCGGCTTCTACATCGGACCGCTCTTTTACTTATCAACGCTTCGGAAAATCACCCGCTGCTGTTCTGGCCCTAGGCCTCAGGTCCTGTATACAGCAAGTAGAATTCAGGCCAATACACAAAATACTCAGTCCATGGTATCTGAAAGACCAGAGAGAGAGACCAGAGTAAGTCTCAAAAGAGACCAGTGAGTGAAGTCAGAGAGAGACCAGAGCGGTCCAATGTATTATCCTTACAAAGCCGGCGTTTTGGGGCTCTGAAAATGTGTATCATAATCTGTTTTTTGGTGAAACTTCAGTTCTGTTGGCAGCACTTGCTGGTGATCAGCTCTGCGTTGATCTTTCTGATTTTGTTTCCTTTACGCTTTAGTATCTGGTACTTTATCCAATAGCAACCAAGCCACAACAAACCAGTATGCGTGGACATTCCTTGCAGTGACGTGCTGTGAGTTTTGTGATTGTGGAGGCACTGACTTTAAAAGTCATATTAACAATTGTTATTCTAATAAAAGAGCATTAATTTGCCAATACAATGACGTCCACAAACGTAATATAAAGAGAAGAGAAACAGCTTATTCTCTGCTCCGCATCAAACATCTTTGAGAAGCACATGTGCAAGAGACGAGAGGAGAGAGAGACGAGAGGAGAGGCCCTGTTCCAAACAGGATTCGAACCCAGGTCCTTCTTGCTGAGAAGCGAGAGTGCTAGCCACTCAGCCACCGTGCCGGTCAAAGACAAAGACAAGAGCGCGGAGCTCTCTTCTCTTGGCTTCTTTTGCCCTCGCTTCTCCTGTTAGCTCTGGTGCCAGGACTGTAGCCTGCTTTCACTCTGCTCAAAACGAACCTTGACATCCTCCTCTTCTGTCCCCGCGTAAGAACGTGCCAGATAAGACGCTACTCTACACAGCTCAGCCACCATCGCTGGACACGGGACCCGCGGCCTCCGGAGGACAAGAGACAGAGAGAACGGTTCCACGCCACCGCTTCGGCTCAGTCAGTAGTTACACTGTTGGTGGTTCTGTGTTCTGACTTGGTGAACATTCCCTTGCCCCTTGACTCAGATAAAAATGATCTCTTTGCTTTGTTGAGGTTTTCGTTCTGTAAATAAAACACAGCTAAAATCACTATCAGCTTCTTTGAGTTATTAGCCATTTGGTGAATTCCCTGGCGGAGAATCCCACTTTTAGATTATGGGACTGATTCATGTGCAGGTCTAACTAGACCTTAAGTACCTCCTGCCTTCATATTAGTGCATTCATTCCAAGTTAAACCTCTTTTCTATACTAGGTCTGGTTAGTTAAGCACACCTTTATTGAAGTGAACACAAGGCAATCCAAGTAGTTATTACTACAGTATATGCATTCTTAGATCTAAAGTGTACCCAAAGTATACTATTGTATTGTATGTACTTTATTTGAACAGGGACAGTGTACAGTTAAGCATTAACACAAAAGGAGAGATGCATGTACCAGGTTAAAGCAGAGATGCTAATTTCCACCTGTAGTCCCTGGGCTGTGCATCTAAGATACATATACCATATTACCCTACATTATTATTGTTATTATTATTATCATTATTATTACTATGCTCCCCCCTGGACTGCCACCTTAACGTGGTGGGAGAGTTTGAGTACTCGGATGATCCTGGGTGCTATGTTGTCTGGGGCTTCATGCCCCTGGTAGGGTCTCCTATGGCAGACAGGTCTCGGGAGTCAGACGAAGAGCAGTCCAAAGCCACCATGGATAGTACGAAAATAGAACATGTAACGTTGCCCGGCATGGCGCAGCCGGGGCCCCACCCTAGAGCCAGGCCTGGGGTTGGGACTCAAATGCGAGCGTCTGGTGGCCGGGCCTTAGCCCACGGGGCCCAGCCCGTACGGACGACGTGGGCCAGCCCTCCTGTGGGCCCACCACCCCCAGAGGGATCCATGGGGCATCGGTGCAGAGAGGACTGGGCAGCAGTCGAAGGCTTAGACCTCGGCGACCCAGTCCGCACACATAGCAGCTGGCTGTTGGGACGTGGAACTCCTCTTTTCTGGTGTTTCCCGTGGGGAGAGGCGGCGAGCTGGGGTGGCCATACTCATTGCCCTCCTTCTCAGCCGCCACGTGTTGGAATTCTCCCCGGTGAATGAGAGGGTCCCGTCCCTCCGCCTTCGGGTGGGGGACAAGTCTCTCACTGTTGTGACGGCCTACGGGCCTAACAGCAGCGCAGAGTATCCGGCCTTCTTGGAGTCCTTGGGAGGTGTGCTGGACAGTGCACCGCCCAGGGTCCTGGGGGACCTCAACGTCCATGTGGGAAATGCCTGTGACACTTGGAGAGGGGTGATTGGGAAGAATGGCCCCCCTGATCGGAACCCGAGCGGTGTTCAGTTGTTGGACTTCTGTGCCAGTCACGGTTTGTCCATCAGGAACACCATGTTTGAGCACAATGGTGTTCACCAGTGCACGTGGCACCAGGACACCCTAGGCCGGAGGTCGATGATCAACTTTGTGGTCGTATCATCTGACCTTCGGGCGCGTGTCTCGGACACTCGGGTGAAGAGAGGGGCGGAGCTGTCAACCGATCACCACCTGGTCGTGAGTTGGATCCGCTGGCAGGGGAGGAAGCCGGTCAGACTTGGCAGACCCAAGCGTGTAGTGAGGGTCTGCTGGGAACGTCTCGCTGAGCCCCCTGTCAGACGGACTTTCAAATCACACCTCCGGCAGAGCTTCTCCCTGGTCCCGACGGAGGAGGGGGACATAGAGTCTGAGTGGACCATGTTCTCTTCCTCTATCGCCGATGCTGCAGCTCGTAGCTGTGGTTGCAGGGTCTATGGTGCTGGTCCCAGCAGCAACCCCCAAACCCAGTGGTGGACACCGGTAGTAAGGGATGCCGTCAGGCTGAAGAAGGAGTCCAATCGAGCCATTATGGTTCAGGGTCTCCTGAGGCAGCTGTCCAGTACAGGCAGGCCAAGCGCGCCGCTGCCCGGGCTGTTGCAGGGGCAAAAACCCGGGACTGGGAGGAGTTCGGAGATTCCATGGAGCATGACTATCGGTCGGTGGCAAGGCGCCAGGAGTGGATAAGATCCGTCCTGACTATCTAAAGTCTCTGAATGTTGTAGGACAGGCTGACACGTCTCTGCAACATCGCGTGGCGATTGGGGGCGATGCCAATGGAGTGGCAGACCGGGGTGGTGGTCCCTCTCTACAAGAAGGGGGATCGGAGGGTGTGTTCCAATTATCGTGGGATCACACTCCTCAGCCTCCCCGGTAAGGTCTACTCCAAGGTACTGGAGAGGAGGTTACGGCCGATGGTCGAATCTCGGATTCAGGAGGAGCAGTGTGGTTTTCGTCCCGGTCGCGGAACACTGGACCAGTTCTATACTCTCCATCGGATACTCGAGGGGTCATGGGAGTTCGCCCAACCGGTCCACATTTGCTTTGTGGATTTGGAGAAGGCGTTCGACCGTGTTCCCCGGGGTGTCCTTTGGTTCTCCGGGAGTACGGGGTTCGGGGTCCTCTGCTGAGGGCAGTCCGGTCCCTGTATGACCGAGCTGCGTTCGCATCGCCGGCAGTAAGTCAGACCTGTTCCCGGTGCATGTTGGCCTCCGCCAGGTCTCCCCTTTGTCACCGGTTCTGTTCACTGTCTTTATGGACAGAATTTCTAGGCTCAGCCAGGGGTCGGAGGGGGTCCAGTTTGGAGACCACAGGATTTCATCTCTGCTGTTTGCGGACGATGTTGTCCTGTTGGCTCCAACAAAACAAGGACCTGCAGCATGCACTGGGGCGGTTTGCAGCCGAGTGTGAAGCGGCTGGGATGAGAATTAGCACCTCCAAATCTGAGGCCATGGTGCTCGACCGGAAAAAGGTGCCTTGCCCTCTCCTGGTGGGTGGAGAGGTCCTTCCTCAAGCGGAGGAGTTCAAGTATTTCGGGGTCTTGTTCACGAGTGAGGGAAGAATGGAGCGTGAGATTGACAGGAGGATCGGTGCAGCGTGTGCAATGATGCGGTCGCTGTATCGGACCGTTGTGGTAAAGAGGGAGCTGAGCCGAAAGGCAAAGCTCTCGATTTACCGGTCAATCTTCGTTCCCTCCCTCACCTATGGTCATGAGCTTTGGGTAATGACCGAAAGAACGAGATTGTGGATACAAGCCACTCTTCCTCCGCAGAGTGGCTGGGCCCTTAGAGATAGGGTGAGGAGCTCAGTCACACGGGAGGAGCTCGAAGTAGAGCCGCTGCTCCTTCACATAGAGAGGAACCTGTTGAGGTGGCTCAGGCATCTGTTCAGGATGCCTCCCGGACGACTCCCTGGGGACACATTTTTCTATGTGTTCTTTTGTTTCCTCCCTCACCCTCGCTGAGCTCGGTCTAACAACTTGCAATAAGGTAAATCCTCTCTGTAGCAGTTTTATGTTTAAGGCTGTAAACATACACAGGCTGTAAACTACGCTGCTGTGTGCTGGGCCCCGGGCAGCACAGAGCGGGACAGAAACAGACTGAACAAGCTGGTCAGGAGAGCCAGCTCCACTCTGGGCTGCTCCCTGGACTCTGTGGAGGAGGTGAGGGACAGGAGGGTGCTAGCCAAAGCCACCTCCATCATGAACAATACCTCCCACTCACTGCACAGGACTGTAGAGGAGCTGAGGAGCTCCTTCAGTGGAAGACTGAGACACCCTCAGTGTAGGAAGGAGCGCTACCGCAGGGCCTTTATCCCCACTGCTGTCAGACTGTACAATAAGTCACTTTAAATGATCACTGTGTGAAAACCTGCACTACTATTGACACTGTTTCCAATTCACACTTGTCACTTTTGTTGCACACAATTATTGTCACTTTATTGTACATATATCCTGCATGTAACATGTTTGCACATTTCCTCCTTTTGCACAATCTGAGTGTCTCTATCCATGCCAAATGTGACATGTAAATTTCTCCTCTGTGAGATAAATAAAGCACATCTTATCTTATCTTAAACCCTCACACACTTTATACACTTTTCTAACCACCATATCAAACCTGTTGGTTGCAGGTCTGAGCGCTGCTGCAAATGTCAAAAGCAGTGCGTACAGTGTAAAATACTGCTGCAGAGGACACTTAGGGCTACGGGAAGACCAGAGAGAGACCAGAAAGAGACCAGAGAGTGTTGGAATATTAAAAGGCCTCCTGCACCAGTTAAACTAAAATCAGTTTAGTATTGTTTCTGTTGCCAAATTAGCACTTGTTTGTGTAAATCTCAAAGAGCAGTGAGTTCAAGGTTAGTCTGTATGAAAAGTGAGAAAAACAACTGTTGTTATCAGAGCAGGTGCAGGCTTTGGCAGCTGGCCAGAAGGAGTCATAGAGTCCACGAATCTGTGATGTCAGTGACCTTGGATGTACAGTATAAAAGATGTACAGGAGGAGGCACGGGAACTTTTTGCTTTTTCTTCTGACAAGGAGCAGTGAGACGTCCCCGGGGGCCACTCCTTATCTGAACGCGAAGCGAGACCTGTTCGCGGACCGTTATCTTGTAATATTGCTTGCAAAGTCTTCAATATAACCTTTTGAAATCAGGTTTGGTATCTGTCATTTCTATTACTGTTTTAACATTGGTTTTTGTCTCTTGTTGAACTAAAAGGACCTGCAGAACGAAGGGCTGCTGTGTTTGCGGCCTCTCTGCAGCTTCTGGGGCTGGGGAATTCTGACAAATTACAGCAAGAGAGGCCAGAGAGAGACCAGAGACAGCAGGACCAGACCCAGCGATCCAAGATGGCGCTCTATCCAAATAATTGGATTGTGCTCAGTGGCGCATGTGCCGATGTGACCGGTGTGTCCTGCCTTCTCTTCAATAACCCATGGAGACGTTGGGATTGCTGCAGCAGTTGCGTTTATTATGTGCATAGAGAACAATAACACTGTGAATAACTTGTAGTGTCTGCTATTATAACTTCTACATATAAAGCATGTATCTTCAAAATGTGTTGGGTCAAAATGGTAGAAGCAGCTGACCAGTCATGAGGTAGACGTGTGAGCAACACTAATGTTAGG